CTTATCAAATGTCACGTTTGAAATCTGTGGTGAGACTAATAGATCTCATCTCCGAGCAGCATTTTCTCTCATGGTGAGATTAACTATTCAAGCTGTTAGGTATGTGGTTAAATAAAAAACACAAGTACCCTGCAGTGCAATGAGTGTGCTATTTGTCTCCTCCTCCATTCAGACTTGTATAGGTGTTCAGACTCGAGTCCATGTGTCAGGATAACCAAGCCTGACAGGTGCTTCTCCTCATTATTCAAATAGATTCACACCCCCGAGAAAGGCAGAAGTGCCTTGATGTGTCATTCTCTATAGTTTGCGCCGTGTACAGTATACAGCCACTAAACTGCAGTATAGTTTTTGCACGGTCTCCTACCATGGGCGTTAATGGTTACATTACATTGACATTTACAATAAAATATTGCCCTTCTTAACATCAAATTTTCCTCAACCGCCGGAACTATTGATCTAAATATCACATCCATCCTGTTTAGCAGCAAGGCAGCGGATCTCCCGCACAAGAGCTCCCAGACAGGGGGAGATAAATGAATGTGCATTAAGGAGGTTAGCTGGGCGTGTTTGAGAACCCAACATGGCCAAATTGGATTCTAATAGATGTCCTTATTAGTGTAATCACTTTGACCCCCTAATGGCCTTTTCAGGGATTCAGGCAGCTTGGATTTGAGGTAAAATAAGTGCAATTAGGATCAATACGCATCATTGTGTGAATGTGTGCCTGTATTTTTGAGAGTTAAAGAGGGCAATGTGGAGAGAGAAAACATGTGAGATGGTAAACCATGACACAGCATTATCAGGACTCTCATGGATTATTGATAACACCATAGCAGGATAGTTGAAATGTATTGATTGGTCAGTAGTGGGAAAAACCCACACACATTCACAACATAGCGTTCATATAATCACTTCTTGTCACAAAGTTGGAAGTCAGGATGCTGTTAGAACTTAAGCTATTCAAAGATGGAATGATCAGTACACATCTCATGTCCGCTACAGTAATGGAGTTGGCTACCTGAGATCAGCATAAAGATTGAAAGCGGGAGAAAACAGCTGCCCTGACTGCAAGAAAACCACAACTTGTCACTTTCAGTTTTTGTTCATATGAACTATACCAGGTTGATTGGTGTATTTTAGAGGTTTAACTACCTTCAAAGAGTCAGACAAGCTGACTTGACGTTTCCAGACCTTGTGCTTAAGTATATGCTCTCTGTCTTGCTATAACTGCATATTTTTGCTTTTATTTTGAATATATTAGAGTTAATATATTGATATGAAGCTGCAGTATTATTACTATGCAGGCATTTTCCATTGTTTACATCTCTGTATGAGTCATAATCAACTCCCTATCTTACTCATCAAATGATGCTGTGGCCATGTCATTATTAGACTGCAGGACTCACAAAGCCTAATTATCCTAATAATCTTTGTAACTTCACCTTTGTCATTTACAGTATCCTCTTTCACCTAAAGCACCATCTGAAATATTACTAATTTGACTCCATAGCTTCTTTTCTTGTGAACATAGATTTACTTTTTTTATTTTGCAATCTAGTCGTGGAAGAATCTTTAGAACAATCGGGAGCTCATTGAAATTCCTTGAGAGCAGATTAACAGACTTAACTAGACTAACCCTAACTAAAAAACAACAGTTGTTCTCATAGGTTGTATTTTGGAATGTGTATCTACCCTTAATACTCAACTTCTTTGACTTATGTTAAGAGCAGATTTCTCTAAACAGATATATATATATATATATATATATATATATATATATATATATATATAACTCTCACAGGAAGTTGTTAATTTGCAAATGGAGACCTGCAGCAGTTCAACAAAGTAAATGGGGTAAAAAACTGACCCGATCAAGAAGAAGGTTAGTTTGGTGTGTGTTTAATGAAAATGCATGTTTAAATATGAAAACAACGCAATAACTAATCAAATGTGTGCTATTTTGCATACATACCTCATTATTTGAGACAAACACTAAAACAATTATTCATTTGTATTACAAGTTTTCTGAAATGTTGTGTAAATGAAAATGAGGCATCATATATTGCTATATTTTGTTGATTAGAATAAATAGACATCTAAATGTATATTTTGGATGTTTTCTTTCCACTAGTCTAAAAGACGCGTTGAAGCAAAATAGCCCCAAATAGCAGAGAAAATGTCATCTGTCTGTAGTTGTAAGGCCATGTTCAAACAGAAGGCCAGGTTACTAGCTTGTGCGCTGAATGTATAGTAAATGGAGGCTTAGCACATCTTTTTGTGCAGGACTGCAGTTGGTATCACGCAGAGACGAGTCAGCTAAAGATCAAACTCCACTCCAAACCTCCCACTATCGGGGCAAACAGGGGCGCCACAAGGCCACTGATCTATCAGGAGTGAAAGCCCCAAGCTGAAGAGCTCATGGTTATTATGACTGTTTAAATGAATGACTGTGTGTGTGTGTGGGGGGGTGAATAGGGGTAGAGCGTTGGCTGGGGAGAAAGATAAAGATTTTGGATTATGGAAAAGTGGAATGACCATTTACTAAGCCCCCCTCCCTGTTTATTGCCGTCAAGCTGTCTGCACTCACACACACTTTCTATTTACAATAAGAACAGAAGTAGATTCCACATTTTGAAAATCTTAATACATTTTGAAACAATCGATTTTAGGCAAAGGTAGATTAATTGTATTTAAAATTGGGGTACTGTAAATATAGCAGGATTGCTAGATATGTTATCTGAGGCTGAGGTTGTATGTTGCAGAAATGTTCATCCTCAGCAGCTGATGATGAGGTAGATGGACATTAAGGAGGTATTATAAGTGTGATATAGTATGGGGAAGAAGCCATGGGATCATCAGCAAAGATGTAGAGGAAGAGGAGACGTGTCGCAAGTGAGAAGCCCCCCCCCGGCCTGCCTGGTCAGCCTGTCACGCCTCACATGTCACAGCATGTCCCACACAACTGCTGCATGCAATGGCTTAGCCTGATGACTAAGCTTGGTCCCAAGCCACACCACACGAAGTAGGAATATGCTTCACACGTGATTAATAAAAAAAAGGACCATCCTGCCATGAATAATACATTGTGAATATTACAACATTAACTGTGGCATCAAAAAAATGAATTTCATAATTACAGAACAAGTAGATGGGTGTTTATTAAGCAAAGAAGAATCTTGTGTTGAATTCATTTTGAAGATGTTATCAAAGGGAAATGACTCATTTATTATGCCTTTTAGCACATAAGAAAAGCGGGTTAAAAGAAATGTGTCATAAAGAGCTTACGGCATTATTTTCTTGGATTTTGAAAATGTATTCGTGAAGGGAATTTCCTTTTTTGCATGCATTTTTGTCTAGGCTTTGATGGTCTGTGATTAGTTGTTTGCATGTAAAACACTTTTATCCTGGAGATTGGGCTCCTCTTTGCTGTCAGTTATTCCCTGCCATTGCTCATTAAGGAGAGCGGCTGATCCTCTCATCATTTTTGCATTTTAATTTGCCCCTTAGCGTTATTGACCATGTCTGGCTTAGCTTTAGGATGGGTTAGGGGATGCATTGACACTGGGAAATGATTTAGAGTGAAACAGTTAAATGTGACACGTATTAAAACTAAGGAAAAACAAAATGATGTTGTTCAGATTAACGTGGAAAAAAATAACCAACTCTAAAAACGTCCTTTATTAATTTAGAATTCATACAAGCAAAGATATAATTCGTTGTGTGAATTCCATTTGAATAATGCCATCATCGTTTTCCTCATTCATTTCACTAGAGCATTAAATCATTTAAACTCTTTTGGTTTTGAGTGGGGAAGAAAGGTTCTCTAAGTGTCACCACGCATTTTTTTCTTCAATAGTTTTTTAAATCAGCCATAGCTCCTCACTTGTGTAATCATATATATTTTTTCCCAATGTGGCTTCCGTGGATCAGCATCTCCCTTTTAAGTGCTACACCAATTATGGCCGCTTGTTGAAACAACGTTGAGATGTCATGTTTATATGTATTTATTTACCTTGATGGGACATGACAAATTAATGCAGGGCATTTTGAGAGGAACATTTAATTTCCAATCCCTATAGGTGTTGTCATTGCAAAAATGTATTTTAAAAGTAGTGCCAGCTCTTTGTGAGCATGTTTTTCAACTGGTAGAAGCAATAACACTTGTCAACACTACTGACAGAATTCTAGATATGAATAAATGATATAGTCAATAGTGTGCAATGAGAGAGGTTTAGTTCATCCTTTTGGAAGATACATTGTTAATTCAAGAATGTAAAAGAGTGGGGGTGGGATAACAAGCAGGCTAATTATTAGCTGCACAGAAAATGGTATGTATATTTATGTTAGGACATGCACACAAACAGAAGCCTGTGTTTAGTTGTATAATATACAGAAACTAAACAGCCTATAATGGGAAATGCAGCTAAATCAAGTGGCAGGGAATTTAAATGTAAGTGTGTAGCACTGCTGATGTTTGCAATGATCATCTGACAGGGCTCTGGGCTGAGGGAAGGTCCCTGGCTGTACACACGCAGGCCGGTTGGGGGCTGAGCCTTTGAAGGAGCTGGAATGGTGCATGTTGGCAAAGCATTGCTGGGATGCTGTCCAAGGTGCTGAACTCAATGTCAACTAATCTGGAGTTGGTTATTATTTCATTAGAGAAAAAAACCAACCACATTTTCCCTCAGCCAATCTTTTAGACATTTTTGGAATCTGCTTTACTAATTTCTCGGCAGTTCGCCGGCAAACACACACACACACGCACACACACACACGCTTTATATCTAAACAACTAACAATACGAAAGAGATTTCTATTCAATAGTGTTCCCCGGGGTGCTGTTTTCCATTCACTCTCTCTCCAATTTAAATTATTACTTCCCCACTATTCAGAGTAATGTGAAGAAGGCGGCACAGGGCGTCAGTCTGGGAGAAATCATGAGTGGGGGGCGGGGGGGTCGCGGGGGATCAGCTGCGCTGAGTGAGCCAGGCTGAGAGATGCGCGTTCACCGAGCCGCGGGAAGGAGGACCAGCGCCTCTCCCTCCACCGCGCTTCACTTGGTATAACCTTCTCATCACCAGCATCAGCATGTCGCCGCCTTGGGAAGACTATAATTCATAATACGACGGTTATTTGGTGGAATTTCCCTCTGGATTGTTGGAATTCTCTGCATATACACACGTTCATCGCTTCATCCGCCCGGAATTGTCTCGCTGCACGAGAAGGTAGGAGCCGATTAAAACGGAAAAGCTATCCGTGTTATGTTTTTTTGCCATCCCATTTTATCCATCATCCACTAGATGTTCTCTGAATGTACTTATGTTATGGAATTCTGAAGTTTTTCTCCAAGATATTACCATCCCATCCCCGCGGTGAATCGGATGTGGAATCGTGGAGTTGTGGATTTAAACGCTCGCCCGGTTAGTTTGGATGATGCTCTCAACACTCCAACCACAAAGCAGCGTGCTGATTAGTGGACAGACAGCACAGCTCATCGCGGAGACAAATCAGCGATGAAATTATGACAAATACACAGTCGATCAGGTGAATGCGTGAAAGTTTCAGCTCGCCGAGTCGCTTCTCATGCGGACCGAGCTCCAACACTAAACCTGGCTCCAACTGCGTACATTTGGTTGGTACAAATGGTTTAAGGCGAATTTAGACACGATTCCTGGTCACATTACTCCGACTGCTTTTGCGGGCATCAGCTTTAAAGCCCCGAGCAGCAGGCGGACCGACACCGTGCGAGGAGCAGGAGGCAAAGTGCCCGCCGCTTCGTTCCTCTGCTCCCATTTACACTCCGTTTTCCAGCACTTTATTAAATATTTCAAATATTCAACAAACTAATCAACACGTTGGCTATTTAACAATTTTCGTGAGAGCTCGCTGGATGGAAAGATCCACTGGGGCAGGAATGTATTTTGCTTCTGTCCGAGTTCACTTGATTTTTATTCATTACAATGCTATGCATTAATATAGTGTGATATTATTTATACCTTATGTTGTACGCTGTGAACTGCTTATTAAAGCCTTATGGCAGAAAGAATTTCCAATTTCTCCGTAGTAAAATCAGATGTTTGCAATGTTCATCGGGTGAGTTACATAAGGAAGTATTAAGATGTTAATTCACTCTCTCACTTTACGCAACAAATTATTTTAATTCGTCACGACGCACCATCCGTTTGTGGGATTTATGTGCTGTCAATAATTTTGAGAAATAGTTGCATAAATAAAATGAGGTGGTTTTTGGCGGTGACCGCTTGGTGGTCCACAGAGGCACCAGCCGGTCCGCGAACCTCACTTTGTCTTGGCAGCAGACCAGCCGCTCCGGACGCACTTCCACGTGTCTCATACACTCGCGTGCCGTGTTACGTTTGCTGTCGGCCGGGACCCCCGCGGGGAACAGAGGGGTCTCCGGTGCGTGATGGGGGCCCGGCTGGGTCACAAAACACGCCGGTGGCCCCCGCAGCAGAACGTGGCTGCAACGATGCATTATTTATTTATTTATTTATTTATTCATGTACAGTCAGTGACGGCGGTGCAGGTCACCTCATGTCCTTCTCTAGTTAATAATTTAAAGCGTAACGTTAGTTATATCCCCTGGAAAATATGTGCTTATTCTAGCACACTTACGCCTACCAAGCAAAAGAGCTGCCGTCAGCGAGGGTTACTGCTCCCAAGTACCTTTCGATTTTTGAAATACCTGGTCAATTTCCTGATTTATCCCAGAAAAACAAAGCCTTTATTTGTGGTAGTTTATCAAAAGTAACGTCAGGCTAAAGTTACTTAAGAAGGGTCAGACGACAATATCCCGGTGGACCTTCCAGCTTGGTCTGCTAAGGGGACCTTTCATTGAAATGGATCGGTTGCAGGATATTAACTTTTTATCACATTGGCCTACTTGCTAGCGAGAAGGTGCAATTGTTGTATAGCCTACTCTATTCCATGTACTCGAGTCAAACGTCAAGTAATTGAAATACGACTTAGAGTGAACATGTTGCCGTTGTCATATTAAGCCCCACGGTGACACCCGATTCCTCGGTTAGGCCGTGCACACAATACGGTGGGTAAATTCAGTGGAGGCCAGAGCCATTTTCATAGGAGACTGCGGGCTCAGGTTTCGTGGACATACTAAGCTTTGTTTATTGACCTCACACACAGCACAGCTCTATAGTTTGTGGTTTGGACTGACACGGCTGCGTTCAGGTCTATTTTCACCACACACACAACCTCTCTTAACCTCCGTGCTGTCTCACAGAGTCACTCCTCAAACAAAGGCGATGAAATGATCCAGCCAGGCAACCTCGGGCTGTCTGAGACACACGCACACACACTCCCACACACGGACACGCATGTGTGCACACAAGGTCATTAGCATAGGTATCTGTTACTGGAATTCAATAGCTTGCCTGCTGCAGCAATATTAACTATTCAGGACAGGTGGCTAAAGGCCTTATTGTGTTGCACGGTTCTATGCTACTGTCATGATTGCACAATGCGTTTGTCCAGTGGGAAGCCCACTGCCAAAACTATTGCAAGGGCAAAAGGCTGGGAGAGTACACACACACAGTGTAAGGTTTCTCAACGGGAATAGTTTCTGGCTCTGCTAACCAAATTTAAACAGAAGTAAATGAGTACAGGTGTACAAAGCAAAGGCCAGTGAGTAATACTACTTTCATCCCTGTTTCGTGGATGGAAATAATTAGAATATGGATTCAACGACAGAAGAAAATAGAAAAATGTCAGTGGTGGGATCTGTATTTGAAGCGGTTCCATCCTTGCTGAATGGCTGTTTATGATTGTAATCCCCAAAGACCTGCAAAGGACAGAGAGAGTGGTTGTGGATAATTAGTCATTTTTATCAGGGTCCCAGCAGACCCTTACAGATATCAAGCCTGCCTTTGAGCGCCCAACACATGTTCCAGCTCACCGCAATAGATTTCCAATCAATACAGAATCAGCATCAACCGACTAGTTTTCCTACAAAAAAACTACCATTTCATTTGAAGAATTTTAAAGCCTTCATTTAACAGGCATTAAAATTCGGAACCAATATTCAAGTTCATCTTCAAATGAAATTATTAATCGGTAGATTATATGCTTGTAAACCTTTAAAGGGCATTATTAGAGGTTATTTAGTTGGATTCATTCGCCACACGTGGAGTTAAATCTTAATATTCCTCTAAGATGTTGATTGTGCCTCATTGTCATGATTTTGTTTAAATGAAAGGAACAATTCTATACACTTTTTTTGCCCACGCGCACGACTATCGCTATTCTTTTCCGGATAACTGTTGATTTGAAATTACTTCCTTACTCTTAATACATGCTAAGATTTGCGAAAAAATACTTTAGAGTTAACATTAGGTTCCAATAATTAGTCCATTGGTTGTGGTCCCTTTGCCACTTTGCAGGTGGCACCTTTCTCATGCCAATTGAAATGGACAAGTAGGCATATTTGCTTAAAGTGATCTTCTTTTGTTCTGCAGTTCTGTCAAAGGTGCGTTCGAAGCTGGAGGACACGGCATGGGGCACAGGACTGGACCCACCATGACGGTCGTGTGCTTCAATCCGGGAAGTCGCCTGAAAGAAAACTCACAAGACACCGCTCTGAATCACTGACTGAACACACGGTTGTGACCTTCCCCTCAGCGCTGTCACCTGTACACTCTGTGGGAAAGTCACTTTACCTCTGCAAAGACTTGGCCGAGAATATTACGTTCTGTCCGTTATCAACAATAGCAAAAAACGGATATTGCATTCTGCATTTCACTGTAAAATGATCTATGTGGGACATAATATCCAGCAGATAAATCCTGAATAGCACCCAGAACCAGATGTAATCATCACTCTTGAGGATCTTTCCCGAGCTCTGTCCCTCTTGTGGTGCATCCTGTCACTCTCTACAATGAATCCCATCAGCCTAGCTGGGTTTTTCTTCTCGCTGCTGGGTACCATGCTGGGCCTGAGCGTAGGTTTGGAGTTCACTGGCGCTGGAGGTCAGTGGGCTCGCTACCTGCGCTGGGACGCCAGCTCCAGAAGTGACCTGACATTTCAGTTCAAGACCTCACAATCAGAGGGCCTGCTGCTCTACTTCGACGACGGCGGCTACTGTGACTTTTTGCTGCTCGCTGTGTCAGACGGTAAGCTGCAGCTTCGCGTCAGCATCGACTGTGCTGAGACCACCATCACCTCTGACAAGGTGGTCAACGACGGCCGCCGGCACTTTGCTGCCATCAACAGGCACAATTTGCGGACTGGCTTGGCCGTGGACGGCCAGACCAAGACGGAGGAGGTGCGGCCCCAACGGCGGTTTATGAAGATCGTTAGTGACCTCTTTCTGGGAGGGCTTCCGGTGGACATCCGCACATCTGCCATCACCCTGCCCTCTGTCCGTGAGCTACCGCCATTCAAGGGAATTATCACCGACCTCAGTTATGGGAGTAAGCTGCCCACGCTCATCAATAGTCAGAAAGTACGCTTGGAGATGATGGGTCTTTGCACGGAGAACCCCTGTGAGAATGGCGGGATCTGCTCTTTGGCAGATGGAGAACCCTACTGTGACTGCTCCAGATCTGGATATGTGGGTCAATACTGCACTGAAGGTAGGGCTGGCTCCACAGCTTTCTATGTCATTATTAATCAGAAATCTTTCACAAGGACTCATTTTAAACGTACCTGACTTAGCAGCAAGTTCAATTTCTGCTTCAAGGTGTACAATACACATTTTTACAGTAGCTCCTGATATTGCGTTTTTGTAAAAATGTGTCCATAATTAAGAAAATCCATAATTTCCCAGGTAAGTTGGTCTTTGGGCCTGATCATATTTTGCTGTATGCATTTACTTCCTTAACTTAATTTATGAAATGCTTTGTGCAATGTAGCAGTTTACTCCTCCAGCTTAATACGGGCAGCTATACCACCATGTGGTTTGAAACATTGAATGCAGTTTATCCAAGTAAAGTCAGTCGATTTTTTTGTGGTAGCTGCTCCTGGAAGCCTTCTCTTTGATGTCTTCCGTATTTTAATTGTGGACTTAAATGAGGGTGAAGTGGTCAGCATTTCCTTTGCCTCACAGTTCTCACTTTAGATGAGAAAGTGCTGGATGCGGTATTAGCTGATATGACTAAAATTACAACACTCAGTTCTCTTTTCTCCATTTAATGTATTCAGCTGGTGCAAGATGGTGCAGGGACCTGGAGGTACACACAGTGTTGGGATGAGAGACAACTTCATCCATTTTCCCCCTGCTTCTGTGCCAAGGTCATCTCTTATTGCGGAAGTGTGATGACAATGTTCTCTTTTATCTCTGAAGCAAGATATAGGCATGCTCAGTTTTTCTTCTCAGCGAACACTTATGTATACTCTCACACGGCCCATTGACAGTGATAGAATACAGGACACAGTTTCACAAATTGCCTCTTTCTCCCCAGGAAATACAAGGATATTTTTCCTTCTACAATACCGGGCTGTACTTTGCCTGGCCCTGCTTTGGGTTAAGGGCTGCGTGATGTCAAATCCTGCATCTTTCAAAGCATAATGAAGTCAAGAATAACTTGGAATACAACATTTCACTCCTCTTCCTCCTCTTTTTTTTCCACGTGTATGCACTGTAAAAGATACCTTTGTGTGAACAGAAAATTTCCTCCACTGCCGACCCACTTCCTACATGTTGAAATCAAATTGATATGACAAGGGAATGACTCAATTTTGCTATAAATCAGAGGAATGCTCACTGAATCCTATGGCACTGTTTGCAAGCTATTTAAAACTGTGTCCAGCACACATAGCATTCTGCAAATTGCCACCACAATAGCGTGCCTTTAGAATAAGCATTCTCAGATCTTCGTGCGGAGGTTGTGACGTGTTTGGTTGCGTAGTACGTTTCATCATTTCCTGCTCAAACAAAGCTGTTTGGAGCTTAAACCCCAAGCGTTAGCCTGTGGCATTATTCAGGGCAGCACGCAATGTGCTGGTTGCAGAGCAGTCAAGCGCACGGACTCGACCTGCCCCCCCCCTCCGCTGGATCCCATTCACTCACGTCTACTGTCGAAAAGTCAATGAAGACGAGGAGGAGAAAGTGCATTGGTCTAAAAAACTGACAGGGGGGTATGGCATCCTCTTGTTCAAACAACCAAGATGTTAAGAATCACAAAAAGAAAGAAATTCTAATTGCTTTTTACCGTTATATCTACATTTATAGTTGTGTCTCTTAGCATTCCCGTTGCTTAGGAATGACCACAGGGGTGTAATCCAACATCCCTGAACAGTCACAAGCCATGCTTACTTTCACATGCACACAAATGCACATACACACACTCGGCACAATTACATCATTTATCCTTTCTAAAGATTGAATATTTTAATATTATATAGATGAAAGCTTCAAATAGGCCCAGTTGTTTTTTTGCATTAACCCGCACAGTGAGATATCTTTATATTTGTATTTTGTTTGTTCATTGTTCATTTTGTAATGCTTAAATTGTGAAAATAAAAAAAACAAAGACAAAAAAGAGCAGGTGACTTGTCCAGATAGCCTGGACAAAAAAGGAGATGTTCTAATGTCGGGTCCCGGGCACAGCAAGTGTGACCCGGGAATTCACCAAATACACCCACTTCCCTCCCACCTTCCATCCATCTACACACCTTTCCTCCATCTTCTTTTCTTCTCAAGTGACATTGGAAGGGTCCTGATGTCCGTTACCCGGCTGATGTGACTGCTGCTCTCTCTGCCTCTCCATTAACCGATGTGGCTGATTGTTGTTGATTATGCCACAGAGACAGGGAACCGTAATTAGGAGAACAATCAGAACAGATATTGCTAATTTGCCTGAAAAATGCCTCCACAAACACCGCTGTAAACTCAAACTCTTTAATGGCAAACAAGGGCAGGATTTATTTTATTGCCATGGCCACATGCCTGGTGTTATGATACTTGTTGTCCAAGCTACCCTCAAGCAAAAGATTCAGAACAATCCCATTTTCCCCATTTGGGGAAACCAACAATTGCTGAGCACACCTGTCCATGTCGGCATACTGGTGATTATGCAGTATATTAATTAGCAATGAAAGCAATCTGTCAAACCTGTGAATATTTATGTGTTACAAGGGTTTGCATGTCCCAGGTCAGAAACATTTAAAGGCGTGCAGGCAACCTCAAAACGCAACAAGGCCCGGGAGCAGCTTGTTAAAACGGGCAGATGGCTGACTGACTGAGCGAACTGGCCCTTTGAAGCACTTCGCCAGCTGCATTCCTAATAGTAGCCCGCTAGCCCACTGGCCTAGAAGACAACTAGTGGGACGAATTAACATGTGAGATGAGAAATGGGGAAAAAATGGGGAGGTGGATGAAGGCTGTTTGTGGCAAACGTGCTAAAAGCCATCCACATTCCAACACGGTCCCAACCTTTTTGGTGGGCAAACTCTCATTACGAAACAGCTCGGTTAGCAGCTTAGCACCGCAAACAGTTGGCCATAAAACACATGTTCAGTCTCTCGTCCCTCGTGGATCAGGACGTATCAGTGTGAGGAACTGTGTCAGTGCAATGAGCTGAATTAAGACACCACTCACCACTCGCGCTCGGCACGAGTCGACTTTGCCAGGCAAATCCTCCGCGTTCGCTCCGGCCCTCAGACGGGATAACTCTCAGGCATGAACTTGGTTCAGTTCCCGTTATTACCTGCGCAAATGTAAATACATTTCATGTAGATTATCCCACATTCTATTCCATTAAATCACTGTGGAAATTATAAAGTCTCTAGAATATCGTGGGGTTTTCCACTTACAAAAAGACATGCATACGGGGAAGGTTATTAAGAGCTACAATGGATAGTTTAATGAATATGTAGAATAATCCGTCACGTCCTACATTTGTAATGAACAGTTCAACCCGTTCGCTTGCAAAAATATTTGCTGGTTTGATGGAAGGCCGGTAATTGGAGGCTATGGCAGGCAAACTGTTAAGCAAGTGCTAAAATGGTGCCTTCAGGCTTAGCTTTGGGGATTAATAAACAGACATGGGAAAAAATGACAGTTACAATAATCTTTCTCGAAAAATTAGGTCAGGGGGAAAAAAGGGAAAAAATAGTGCAGGGACTTGCCTGCTGCCAGTGCAGAGGGCATTTGCGTCTGGTGCCCAAGCTGAAAATGATGTTTGGATTTGAGTGGCGAAGCTGCTGGTAAAATAGAGCAGGGGATTACGCTCGGACCACATGTCCTCAACAGCAAATTGGTTTGTTCTGGGTGGTGTCGCATCAAGAAAAAGGGGCTTTATCCGCGTGCAACGCGCAAAACATGCACTCACAATGGAAGCGCTCGTATCGAGGACACGCGTGTGCATAGTCAGAAAAAACATGCACACATGCCCGTTCAAGCGCACGCGCTCAGGGGTCCTGAGTCCCCCCCCCCGGTCTTCAGCTATGGTGCTGCTGTCCATCAGCTGGCCACTGTCTCCCATCCCCCCACTTGCATGCTTTGTCCTTCCGTTTCCTCTCCCAATGTCATCCTTCTCATACGCAAGGAGAAGTAGCAGCCATTTTGGACCGCCCAAAGGAGGCGAGGAAAGAAACACATTATTTGTCTCCCGGTCTCAGACACATATGTCTTCTGTTGAGGGTTTTTTTTCAAGGACTTAATGCTGTCAGAGCGGTAACGGTCATATCCAGCCTGGGCCGACATCATATGTATTAAAGCTGACGCTATAAATTGTCCAATGTCGTCTATCTTGACTAACATTTGTTTAATATTTAGTGAGTCCGTGACACTCCCAAAGCGCTCTGATTACAGAAATCTATGAATATTCATTTTAGGCTAAAGCAGCGGGTTTGAGACTAATGAGTAAGGACGCTGCATAAAAGCTCAGCATAAAAACACTGATGCAATCGAGGCTGCTTTTACAGAGTGACCTGTCACTCACACGGGTGGGTTTCAGATCCACCAGGTGCGTCACATCTTGGGAAGAAGTTTCTCTCAGGAAAGTGAAATGTGTTGCTTATTTTATTTTTTTGCATGGGCATACCGTGAAAGCAGGATACCCCCGGTGAGCAATCCTATGAGAGACACTAGGACCGTGTTGAACCTGGGTCAGCGATTCAAACATAGTGGGCGGGGTCAGAAGGAGTGGGAGGAGTGGAGGAGAAGAAGCACACCCAAGATCCACAAACCTCACAACACCATAACTCCTCATGGATTTATGTCTCTTTTCTGTGTTTGAAGGTCCTCTGTGTGATACAAACTGCAGGATATGTTATAATATTCAAAAATGTGAAAGGTGTCGATCTGATTCCTCGAGTGGACGGGACAGATGAAATGTTTTGGGTTCTTCTCCACAGGGTTTTTCACTGGAGTACTTATTTTAAACAGGCATGTCAAGAGACGTCTCGTTGGTCCTTACATGAAGCATAGTTCTTAGGAGTGCTATGGTTTGCATGTTTAGATCCACATGCAAAATGACTTTTGAGTGTGTCGTTAATGCAGACTTCTCTCTGCTTTCTCTCCTTTCCTGTGACAACTCCACAGCAGTCCAGAGAAAACCAGGTGAGTCTCAAGGGGTCGGTAGAGTTCATGTTATGAAGTAATAAAGCCTGATCAGAAACAGGTTTACACATTTATGCACAGTGCTTTATCAGGGTATGTAATTCCGAATTGACATTCACTCAGTTAACAACCTGCAGAGCGAGTTCACATTCACATACTGTGCTGCTGTCTTTGTTAGTTTGTTTCAACAGAAAGCTTTCAGATGCACTTGGGGAAGCTTTGCCTTTAGTGTGATCGCCATGGTTTGCTATCATGCAAATCATGTTTATTGACAATACGACTGCAGTATTGGCGTGCTGTTCTCAAACTTTCTCTGTCCCTCTTTGTTTGATTTATTTCCTCCTGCAGGCCTCGCACACCTGAAGGCAGAGCAAGGTATTCTGTTCTTTGTCTTTCTAGAGCGTTGATGTTCTGTTTTTATGTTCACTCACCACCTGGCGTGGTGTTGGGGCATATCTTTCCGCTGTGTTGCTTTCTCTACCTGTCCATGTGCATTAGTCGTGGCTGCAGAGAAGGGGGGGGGGGGGGGTGCGTCGATGGCTGCATGGCTGCATGGCATGTTCCTCATCTCACCTATGTCTGTCTCTTTCTATCGCCTCTCCGTGTCCTCACCCTGGCTTCACCCAGGTTTCTGTGTGTTACATAAATGTGCACTGTTTAGTTCAGGTCCACAGCTAACACGCAGTGACGCTCCTCTTTTACTACTCGACCTCTGCAGCGACAGGGTGAGGGAGGGGAGACAATGAGAAGCAGGAGGGTGGGGGAGGAAATCACTGGAATTAGGGGAGACAGTTCGGAGAAAGAAGACAATGAAGGGTTCTGAAGATGGAGAGGGGCGAACGTGGAGCAACAAGTGTCCCAGTTAGCTGAGGTACATGCAGAAAACGTGTAAATTTACCCCTTCACCTCAATTCATAATGAATTAATTAGGAGGTAAAGATCACTGAATGTAGTTTGGTATTTTGCAGTATTGTTCACTACCAAGAGTCTTTGGGCTTGCTGCTCCGGGATTCATAAAAGTGGGAATAGTTTCCATAGAATCTTCAAGATCTCTGGTGCAAATCCCTGAGTTCAGCTTTGAACTTGACTAAGATGTCTTAACACTGCTGACCTTTTGGAGGTAACGGTTTAAAAATGCTATTATATGAATTGCGGCTCAACTTTCCCCTTTCTCACAAAACTAGCCATATCCAGTGAAAACTACGGCTCGACCCTCAAGTAGCAACAAGCTTCAGCTCTCTTCTCTAAGAGAGAAGGGAATCTTGCTCGTGTGACCTCAAATAAGGAACTTGCTAAAAAGGCGAAGTGTCATTTGTCTGCTGCTCTTCTCTTATTCCTCCATCATTTTGCATGGTTGGCAACATTTTGCATGAAAGTGTGGCACTGGCACTGTACAGGCTCACGACGGACTAACAGAAACTTACCAAACCTTTTTGCCATCTTTTTCTGGTATGCTGCTCCGGATGACGCTCTTCCCTCTTTTATCTCTTTGGATCCTTTCTCTTCTTCAAAAACTGTAGGTAGAAACAAAGGTAGAGCACTCCCTTGATTTCCATTTGAAAAGGTTTTGTGTGTGTGTGTGTGCGTGATGGGTTTGCGCAGGTGCTGCCACTGGGTAATCATTCATTTTGTGCGTTCATTAAATGTGTGCATAATGCTCTTCTGTGTGAGAGAAAAGGTAAATGTCAGGGGACTCTGGTGCTTTCCAGGTGGCGAGAGCCCACATGCACTGCTGCATGAAGGGTGGCTGAGTGCGAGCACACTTGACTTGCTGTTTTAATATGAAATGATGGAAGCCCTACAATGGTTTATTCAGTGTCTTTTGCAAAGAGTAAATATTAATGATAAACTGTAAAGATGAGGCGTGCATGCATTTCTTTATAGACCCAGAAGTCTGTGTTCCTAATTGGATGTGACACTTGTGTGTCTGTTGAAAAGGAGACGATTGGTGAATTTGACCCGACATTTGGATCCATTTGAATGAGGCCATTGCAGTGGTCTCTGTGTTGCAAGCCTGCAGAGAATAACCTCATTATTCATTTATCAAAGCCATGGTGTGTGTGTGTGTGTGTGTGTGTGTGTGTGTGTGTGTGCTTTCATTGGTAAGTTGTAGGAAAACTACATATTATGATCACCAGGTTTGACTTCTAGAACTTTAATTGACTGAAAAGCAACTACGATGAAAGCGGCTACGATGTGGTTGAGTTGCCGATATTCACTATTTTGATCACGTGACCTGTTGTCCTTGCATAACGCATTGTGCTGTGCCAATGACAAAGGTAAAACAAGAAATTGCTTCTTTTATTCATCTTACTGACAGCTACTTGTATCCACTTGTGTGAATTATTGTATCCCTGCAGCGATCCTGTGAATCATATATCCATGGAAACGTGTAATTAAATAAGAATGATGATTCTGAGACACGTACATGTGACCAAGGTTCCATAAATTATGATATGACAAGTTATTGAGAAAAACCACCATCATGATGTATATAATTCCAAACTTTCCTTATCACAAGTCCCTGTGCTGTTTGATTAATGTCTCTGCTGTTGTGTGTGTGTGTGTGTGTGTGTGTGTACGTATGCACTGTACAAGGTGCAGTGGCCAGAGATAACAATGAAGTGGGAGGAACAATAGAATAGAGAAGAGTGACTCAAGAGGCAAAAGAAAAGAACAACGGAAGGTTAAGGGATTGAATGCTGTAGATTTAGGGCCCAAGGGAGCATGTCTGTCTTTATTTATTTAGCATTAATGCTATTAATGATATGCTAACGTACTCTGCTAAAGTTAGCTCCTTTGCTTCAGTCTAAATCTCCTGCATGAAGACTTTGGACTGAGAAATTTCTCTCTCTATCTCTTCAGTGCACACAGGAAGGGTTTTTTCTCCCTCCCTCTGTCCCACTCTCTCCCTCTCTTTATGTACACTGTATTCTCGCCCTGACTGTCTCCTGTCTCGGGCTCCATCACTCTGCCTTTGTCCTACTCAATTTCTCTCTGTCTGCCTCAGTACTCCAGTTGTCCTTTTTCACGCGCCCGTCCCCCCCGTCCTCCCTCTTCCTTGTGTCTCACCAGTTCAAAGCACTATCGACCTCATGAGCCTCACATCACAGTCAGGCTGCTGCCTACTGCCTGTCCACAGATGGCGCTATAGGTGCGAGTGTACTACATAGATATTCAAGTGCCCTATTTACACACTTTTTCAGGTAATATTCTACAAACACACGATGCCTTGAAAAAAAGTGATTGCTCATATATTATTCATGCCAACGTTTTTTGGTTAGAAGAGTTGCACCCCGTTGACATTTCGTCACACAGCTTGAGGAGTTTAAGTTTAAACAGCTGTTTTTCTGGAGGAAATGTGTGTCCAGGCTTGGGAATTACTGAGAGGCTTATAATGACTCTATTGTGTTTCACTCTTTGATTAGTCATTCACAAATTTGAGATGTTTTGTAGTTGAAGGTGTAAAAAGTACACATACAAGTTACAGTTATTGATTGAGGTCATTAATATGGACATCAACTTTTTTTACATTTTCCTAGGACGTACTGCTGCTTATGTAACCAAAGATATATGGCTCCAAAAGGAAGCGTAACACAATCTGATATAATTCCTGAAGGGACGTTACCTGGGTCAGTGTTGCTTGGAGATGAAGACTACCCGTTTGAAAAATGAAAACCCTCTGAGGATGTAGAGTTTGAAAGAAGTAAGCCTACCAGAACTAAGTAGCAGGCTCGTCTCTTACCTCGCAACCTTTTTCTATCCCAAAATGTCATTCTGCCCGATTTTCCACCAAATCAAATTTGGTGCATTAAAAGTAACATTTTCTTGGTGAAAAAAAATGATAATGGTAAAAGATTGTGCCCTCAACTACATGATCAGGGGCATGATTACGTTTTAAGTGACCACAGCTACCCGTAAATTAGTGGACCTTGGGAAAGTTTCAGCGGGTATGTGTGTTGTATTGTGCATGCACAACATCCCAACGGGTGCCCTCTCAGTAACTGTTACCACTGCTATCTGTTCCACTTTTGGGTCAAACATTAATGAAAGGTTCATCTCCTATTTGTAAATGGCCTCAACCTACCTACAGGCACTATGTGTCATGGCGGCAATAAAATTGACTTTTCCTGTTATGCCTCAGACGTTGCATTGAGAGCACCAGCTGTCTGTTGCTGGCCTTGGCATGCGTTGCTCATACTGTTGGTAAACGGCTATTATTGGCCAGACGCTTCCCCTCAAATTGAGTTTAGCTTTGCCTCTCCTCATTACTCAGTCAGACACTACAGCACAATCCTTGAGGTGGATTTCAAAATTGCAAAAAATTGAGGGCATTGGTGAAATTGATTTCAACTCTGATACGTTGCTACTGAAGTAGTCAGAATTTAATATAATTCATTTTATTTTATACAGGCCAAAATCGGGAATTACAAATTCTGCCCAGAGGGCTTTACAGTCTGTACACATGCGACATGTCCCGAAAACCCTCACATCAGCACAGGAACAACTCCCCAATAAATAACATACGCTTCAATGGGAAGAAACCGTAGGGAGAACGGCATAGGAAGGATCCTTCTCCAGGGATGGAAATACTGCAATGGATGTCATGTGTACAGAATGAACAATGTTCAAGATGTACAATGCATTCAATTGCCACGACAGAAATTATTGTTGAGTATTGTCAACAACAAGGCATTTCAAAGTGCTTCACATAAAACCATTAAAAGCATCCAAACATAAAGCAAGGAGATTTACGGACAGTTAAGAACATTGATGGATCAATAGACAGTCATTAAAAAGATTAAAAAAGACATTTAAAAAAAGTAAAAGTAGAAAAAAATTGCAGGGTAATTTTAAGAAGGTATTTAAGAATGAAATGGTTAATTAAAGGCAGCAGCAAAGAAAAGTATTTAATCTGGATTTCTTATTATTCTGGTACTTTGTTCCAGATATGTGGAGCAGAAAAACTAAACACTGCTTCTCCATGTTTAGTTTTCACTCTGGGAACAGAAAGTAGACCCGTCCCAGACAATCTAAGGGTTTGGGGCGGTTCATAAGTTATCAGCAGATCATAAATGTACTTTGCCTTTTAACTATTCAGTGCTTCCTAAACCAACAGCAGGATATTAAAGTAAATCCTTTGTTTGACAGGAAGCCAGTGTAGAGAACTGGAGTGATGTGATCCACTTTCCTGGTCCTAGTGAGGACTCCAGCTGCAGCGCTCTGGATCAGCTGTAGCTTTATGATTGACTTTTTACAGGGGCATGCAAACGCACTCTTTTGGGTGTTTTGCAGTTTCATATTCTTCCCAGTGATCCCAGTAAAAACGAGTTTCAGTGGTGCAGTCTTAAGGAGATAGATGCGTGGACGAGCTTCTCTGCCTCTGAAAAGGTCAAAGTGGGGCTGAGTTTGGAGATGTTTTTGAGATGACAGAAGGAGGTTTTGCACGTGTCTTTGATATGCTCATTAACTAAAAGTCAGGTGAGCGTCAAAACTAACGAAGCCTAGCTGTGGAGGAGACCGACTGTCATAGGTGAGAAGGGATATGGAGGATGATAACCTGGTGTTGCATGCCAACAAGGAGGACTTTGGTTTTCCAACTGTTTAGCTACAAACGGTTGTTGCACATCTATGCCTTTATCTCCCCAAGACAGGCAGTGAGACATGACATCACTACACAGGGGCTTGGGGCAGTCTTGATGTAGAGCTGTGTGTTGTCAGCATAACAGTGGAAGGACGTTCCCTGTTTGCTGATGACACGACTGAGGGGAGCATGTAAATGATAAAGAGGATGGGGCCGCGGACAGACCCTTGCGGAACACCACGGGAGACAGTGAGACGTTTTCAGTTCTGCCAGAAAGGTAAGATTGAAACCACTTTAGTGAAGATTCTGATAATCCAATGATAGTGTGAAGGCGCTATGACAGGATAGTCCACTGTAGCAAATGCAGCAGTCCGGTCAAGGAATGAGGAGTGAGGGTGATCCAGCATCGGCTGTCATCAGTAGTTCCTTTGTATCTGTACGAATCTGCAATGCATTATTTCCTTTACTTTTTGTTCCTTTCTGCTAAGCTTTTAGTTTATGTTTACATAACACCGTTCTCTGTCATCTAATGTTTTGCTTCTTCCTGCACCCTTTGGGAGCCATTGCTGGCATCTCTATTTACCATGACACAGGGCAGAGGTTTGCAAAACATAATTTACAATGTGCAATCCTTACACTGACTCACTTCCTTTCATTCTCTATTGGCCTTGTGCTCTCTTCACTTCTCTCCCTCTGTTCCCTCTTTCCGCCGATGACCTTTGGGATCAACCGAGCAAAACTGATTCTCGCTTTTTAACGGATCATGAGTGTATTTGGTTACGCAACAGAAAGGAAGAGAGAGAGAGAGAGAGCATGTGAATATGTAGCTGACATATTCATCCATCTTATATACATTGGGACTAATCACCAAAATATTTGATGTGTTTGCATGAAATAGGAACTGTGCACTGTTCACACAGAGCATCACATAGAATATCTGTTTACAGT